TCCAAGGTGGCATTTGAGGCACCGAGCAAACCAACCGCTTTGCTCCAGCGTGACACACACCTGTTCAGACACGCGTGTAGGTACGTCCGACGTGCGCCGGTGGAGCTGTGGCAACAGGCTGACGCGCCAGAAGTCTGAGGTTTCATTCCCGGACCGGCGGGGATATGCTCTGTTAACGAGCTTTCATTGAGACAAAACTCAAGTCCGATGCTATTCTGTTAAATGGATAGGTTTTAAATTTGATTACAGGTGACAGCATGGACCTTACTTGAGAGACTTTTTCATTTAACGTTGTGGTTTAATAGCTTCTCTCATAGAGACGCATCACATGCAAGTTGGAAGTGCATAACCATTTCCAAGGGGACAGAAAATGCGTAGCAGTACAGTACCAAATGGATCCATCACGAGCACACTTATGGCCTTTGGTAGAAGATTGAATAAGGCATCCCATGATCCAAGACACTAGTTTATTTATGGAATAAGTTGGTGAGAAGTAGTAGGGAGCATCACAAAACTGACACTGTCGCTGAGGAGCGACAACTGTCTGCTGCTCTGTTTGTTGCACATCGGATGAAGTGGCTCTTGAAAAAATTAGCCTATTAGAAGTGATGGTAGAAAATCTCGGTCGTGTTCCCGGGTAAGTCCAGCTGGTTCTGTGTTACTAATCTTAGAAGGCTGGTACCATCCTGGGAGGATGTCATTAGAAAATGAGTTCGAACCCCACTCTGTCCCTTTACCGGAATTCTTCATTCCTATACGGTTGAACAGTACATAGACCCATAGTTAATACTGAAGATTTTCAAACATAAGCACTCTGTAAATTTGTCTTGATTAACGAGTGATTTCGCGTTGGACTGTAGACGAAATAAGGCCGTGATTGACCAGGTGTATCTGCATGAGCCCATGAGGACTTTATTCGAAATAAAATACAGCCAACTTGGCAAAAGATATAGTGGTTAATTGCGATGATTTTCATCTATTTCGGCCTTACATGCTTAAGCACTTGTGCGTTTAGACCACACAATTTTAACGGACAATTTTCACTCCCAGTTAGTCATATCTCCTCACCAACTTTTTGCATTATTTCGCGCCTTCAATATGACAGTCCTGGAAACTCTGTTGTTTAATTCCGTACGCGAATTCACTCCCTCAAGGCTTATCTATCACAGCAACAAGCCTGTTGCCTCAGCTACGCCAGTATTCGGAAGACCCACACTGAACAGAGTATTAGTTGTAACTTAAAGTGTGTGACTAGCCTATTCTTCAAGCCATGGTTACGTCAGAAAAAGAGTGGTACTCGATCGATTTTTAGACGCATTGCAAGAGGTTAGAATTAAGAATACTTTTCAGAACATACGCTTCCAATGAGAAGCTTTCACAAGAATCTATCTAGGAGAAACTATATCCAATGGGAAATTTACGGTGCCTCTGTTCGAAGCATCCACTTAAATATGGCAAAAGGCGGGAATCTTTAAAATCATCTCAGATATGTCGAAACCCGGAAGGTAAATAAACTCGGACTGGTAGCTGCGACGTTTATTCTCGCCTACCATGATACTCCTCAATCCACCATGAATCGGTATGTCATTAAAACTTTTAGACTTATCATATTAGAGTGGTCGGACACAGTACGTTACTGTGTCATTTGTTGAACTGATGGCATGGTGACCCGTTCACTAGTGAAGTTAGAAAATATGCAATCGATGTTCAAATGTGGGTCTTTTGACGGTTCGTCATAACCAGGGCTCTGGATATTGGATGAACATAAAAGATGTAATGTGATGTACCACTTTACACACTGAGTACGCTGTGAAGAAAAACCAAGACTCTTGGTGGTTGTTTTTGTTGTGCTTCGAAAGTGGTTAACTTTCAAATATAGATGTAATACACCACTCATAGTGTTTTTGAAAACTCTTGGAAAACTCACGACAGCTTTCGGCCTTCCTGGGGCTCATAACGTAGAGACACTCCCAAAGTTTCCGTCATCTCATGTTAGTTTTGAACCCTAATTGCACGAATCTCTCGTTCATGATGCAGTCTGGGGCAGTACATTCAGTTGCCTAAAACATCATAAGTGAGAGATTCGGCTGGGTTCCAGATGAGTCTCCCGTCAAAACCGATTTGGTTTGCAAATGAGTGGAGTTTACCTTCATTTTTCAGTTATCTGAGCGGACCTATACTTTTTTGAATGCACGCAACTCCTGGTATGACCATGAAGTAATGTCTACAGATGCCGAAGGGCTAACCACACCCCTATGAGCCATAGAACGTCAGTTTTAGATTACGATAGATAGGTTATATCGAAATGTACGTCAGTAGTCCCGGACGATTTCTTGTCGTTTCAGAGCAAAGCTCCATGTGGCAATAAACAAGGCGTGCTAACAATGTGAAAACACCTGTTACTGTGAAAGCCCAAAGTCTGACATGGCTGATGCAAGAGGCAAGTTAGTAATGCCATTCTATAGGGTTTGCTGAGCAGAAAAGCAGACATCTGGTGGGGAGACGACCTTGAAAACTAAGAAGTTTGACTTGGTTTGGAATCCGTTCAAGTCACGTCCTGGCTTAAACATCCCGCCCCCAGTTTCAGAGCAAAACGGCAAAACGTGGATGATAGGAACCTGGGCTGCATTGATCGACTGAACGTCCTATGTCGCACGGACGATGGATCCACACTCAGATAGAGGCTCAGCTCAGGTTCATGTGTATGTCAGCGGTTGCGCAACCTATGTGGATTATTTTGGTGTGTGGTGTAGGCAACTACCAGCAAGTATTTCCTCTATTTTTCAATACAAATTCTTCCTCAGGTCACACTAGCTGGAAGGTACACTCCATTCCTCATACCGGGCTGTCACCGATAAGCGACTGCCCTTCCCGAGAATTGTATGAATTTCAGGAAAGTCTACTTACATTAGGACGAGAGGACTGTCCACCAAGGGTTGTGCCTCAAACGACGGCGAAGTCTAGTCATTCGGATAAAAGAGGACTTTGTTGTCCACATTGTTCGCATTCAGAACTACAGGAAGGATGACATTAACGGGTGCCCATATACAAGATGTTAAACTGGATTTCATCAGTACCAATAAACACTGCTTTTTGAATAACTTTTATGGTGCAATGACTATTGGAAGAACTTTTTGGAATCATACAGCTGATAATGCAAAATACACTCGCACCGAGTTACAATAAGATATGAGCGAGATTGTGTTGTTTGACGTAACCCTGTACTCCACACATATATCTAAGGGTCAAAAACGGTATCGGACGCATCTGCATTATTCACAAGGCCCTGGATATCGTCCAAATTAACGATGAAAAGTTCGAATACTTCAAGGCTATGGGCTAAGTGAGTACAAGCCTGCCGAAGGAATATAACAAGAAAGTTGCTGAAAACAGCCCAGTACCTGTTTCGCTCATAAGAGTTTACCAATGGTGCTTTATATCAAGAAACTCTATTGTGACATTTCGAATATTGTGCAAAGTTCTACGTGAAGGAGAATTTATGGAGCCTACTCGATTTACACGTAGTATAAACAAGAGACAAGGTTGAGTCCCTCTATAATATCAACGTAATTTGCAACTGAGTGGATTTCGCCAATATCGGTGGAGTGTCTTTTAGTCTAGTTCAACAAAACGCAAAGTCCGGATTGTGGACAGCCTCGAGTGATTAGAACATTGTCTGACACCTTGTGTGCCTAACTTCGGGGTAACCTGAGCAGAAATCTGCAATGAGCATGGCAGCTGTGGACGGCAAGGAGCCCTCTGTTATAGTAATCGTAACCAGATGACCACAAGCATATACTGAAGGCGTCACTTAACAAGGACCAAGAACAATTACCATCAGACTTTCCCAAAAGGGCATTGGTCATCAAAGGAATTGGAATCTAATTCTGTAGTTCGTTCTACACAGCGAGCCCGGTGAATCAGTGACATGGCTCCTCTAGGAGACAGCACGTCTGACAAGAGTGAGGGCTTGACCGATTCCGACAGTGCATAATCTTCACGGAAGCACTGAAATTGTATACACGTCTGTATTACGCCTGTGTTACTTCTTGGATGATCTGTTTCAGAAACACAACTCTGATATCCGTACTTCCAAAGTGGGTAAGGAACTCAATGCAGTCTCATTTCCAAGAGTTAGGTTGGCCATTACCATGTCACAAAATATGACGAGTTCTTTGCAATTTGCTTGGGATTCGTTTGGCTCGTTCACATCATGTGTGGTGCAGATACAAAACAGTGACAAATCGACGCAACAGAAAGAACTCAAATCGCTTTTCCAGATGTTAGTATGATGTTAGTTTTATGAAAATCACGTAAGCCTCAGAAGAAAACCACCTTAGGGACTTAGTTTCGACAAAGCCGGTTGATTAGGCATCAAGTTACCCAAGGTGGATCTCATCCTTCGGTTGGCAAAAATCCTGATGAGAAGCTAAATTCGGTCAACATCAATCTTAGGCTTCAAGCAACACAGGATGGGTGGGTCTTTTAAAGCGGGATTTGTTAAAAACAGAATGCGGTCCAGAGTGGACAAAACAGCGAAAAATGTCTGTGACTGACTGTGTAATATCGGTGGTTGGTCCAGATATTCAATACTGCTTTGTGGTAATTTTTACTGTCAAAGAGGCCGGTTAAATAAGTGGATTCCTACGCCCCTGAGCTGTTACAGGTAACAGCTGTCTGACGGACTGTCTTACTTTAAGGAACGTCATTTTGAAAGCAATGTCTCCATTTAAACCAAAGCCCGTTTTAGGCGCGCGCCTGGCGATCTTAACGGTTCGCGTTTCAAAAATTAAATTTTTAAAGCGGATCCTCCGAATTGTTTTTTTAATTAGTTTGCAGAATTTTTGAAGTAAATTTTGAACATGACTTTTATTGACGCTTCGGAGAATTTCTCGGGGTTCCCTGAAACAGGTAGAGGCCAAGCATTGAAGGCATCGAAGCATGTAAGGTTTAGTGAATGTCCATACGAACTGATCGTTAGCAGACTCTCATCGTAACAACTTGCATCACTCTCCTCGAAAAGGCTTTCGTTAAGGGGGCTCCTTAGACCAATACACCACATTACTTGGAAGGTATGCATGATTGTAAGGTTTTAGTAATCAGCTGGAATAACTTTAATTCGGGTGGCTTTCTTCATTTTCTATCTGCTCGTCAAATTTGACAGTCGATTTAACAATCATTTTCACAGCTCGAAAAACGAACAAAAAACAAGCAAAATTTCTATTTGTGGAGAAAACACGTGTGAGCCAGAAGAGAACATCAGAATATCATAAAATGATAGAAAAGCTCACTTTATTTTAGCCGTCTTTCTAATAGCCACAAACCAGGCTGCTTGAACAACCATTACACTGGCCCAAACGGCCAGAAAGTAAGACCATTGCCGTCCAGTTTCTCTTGTGTAAATAAACACCCCAGCAAGATGAGACATGGGTCCAAGAAGCAGAAGAGCGTAGTAGACGATTTGAAAGCACAAATTGGCTGAGACTGATGGATTGCAGAACGTAAGCACATCCATAATCAGAATCAAGATGAAACATGCCACTGCCAGGATGAGTAATGCAGCAATTCCTATAATTCTCGACCTGAATTTGGTTTCTTGGCAATCCGTGAATAAGTTTCCACAATCCCAGGCACTCATTGCCAAAGCGACAATTGTCAAAGTCAATGAGGTGCCTAACACGGCAAATGAGATCATAGAATGACTTGGACTCATTTTAGTCAATTGAACAGTTCCACCATGATTGAGCCCGTCAGTCAGCCATTTTGGCAGGTCTTTGCATAACACACAGCTGTTCAAAAACAGCTCTTCCGTACCTACTTGATCTCTTACCGTAAAACTGTAAGTGACCAATCAGCACGTAGATAGTCGCATACAACGTTAGGGTCAATGTGCAATGTTAGGGTCAAACGACGCACGTGACTCTCGTTTCAATGACCAAGCAGGGTGGGCAAAATTTGGCTTTCCTTCATACGTAGGCCAATTTTCAACGTAAAACTTTCTTCCTTTTCCCCCCAAAGACAGCATGCTCTAATTGCGATGTCCAATATAAAATAAGGTGCTAAATTTCTGTGAAACTGCCATTTTTTAGGAGTAATTTGCATTGTGCACCTTCCTAACTGAGCAGAACTGCGTTGTTCTGGGAAGCGTCCCTCCAGACGAGAATTGGAGTTGCACTACTGCAACATATTTGTGTGTAGTTGGGTTCCGGACAAAGTTTTTTGAAGAGGGATGTAGAATCGAGTAGTCACTTCAACTCACTGGAAATAAAAATAGCTGTAAAAGTATAAAAATATAAAATATAAGATATATAACATAAAATATAAAAATGTAAAAAATATATACATATCGCGATATCTCGAATATCGTAGCGACTGAAACATTAGACAGCCTATGGCAGCACATTCAGTTGTCTGGAGACATCAAACCGAGAGATTCAGCTGGGTTCAAGGTGAGTCTCTCGAAAAACCAAATTAGTTTGCAAATGAGTGTATTTCGCTAATTTGGTGCAATCTGGTTTCAAGTAGAACATGAGGTTGACAGGAACTCGGGTCTGCGCCTACCTGATGAGCCCCAAGAAAGGGCTGCCGAGGAGTTTTCAGCAACCTTATGAGTGGTGCATTACAAAACTTATGATTTTCGTGGAGAATGCGTAACAAAGTTTTATTCTGCTTTGGAAGAAGAAATTCCATGGTGCTTTGCTTTTACTTTGATTATGAATTTTTTGTCGCGCATTCCATTCAGTTTTCTCCCTCGTTTGACACACAGATCCGTTTGAGGGTGTTCAAAAGCATCCAAATTTAGGTCGGCACTCATAGTTTCTAGAACCTACTGTACGTCTTGAAGGAAGTTCGAAGTTCCAGAGCAACCTCTTGTATTATCAACCGGGAAGGTTTGTCAAGATAGACTGAGATTAAAGCAACGTCTTAGAAAAATATGTTTGCAATGATTCGCCAAACAAGATAATCTTAGTTCGATTTACCTGATAGGATGCACCACTCATACGGTTGCTGGAGGCAGTTTGACAGTCCACTACCGGTTTGACTCTTTCTGGTGCCCATCCAATGAATATGGCCCCTAAGTTTTCATAAACATTTTGTTGCGTGTGAACGCGATACCGCGTAAATCGTGTCAGCTGATATGTGTAATAGCGTTTGAACAACAAATTCTTTTAAAGAATATCATGATCAAGAGTTTCAGTTGAGTCCTTCGTAAACAGCAGCTCTGATCACACTTTGATTCCCTGCAGTTCACAATTAAGAGTCTCATGAATTCGAATCAATGGGAAGGGGTTTTCCATACCGTTGGCAATGGCATCAAAGCCCTTTTGTATTAGTCTACTGGTTATAATCACCGTATTATGATCCAAGGAAGCGGTCTACAATAGACACTGGCTGCTGTCAACCTATCGGACCTGATGGAGCCCCAAGTTGGGAATCGAATCACAAACGCGGGACAACGTTGAGTCAATTTTTGATGGAGACCAACATTACATTACCGTTACCATCATCGGGTAATAGGCTCTGGCATGAGTCTGTTTAGTTCACATTCCTCTGTTTTGTTTTCAGTGAGCTCCCCATCGATGCTTGATGAATTATTCAAAGCACCTAGGTTAATTGTCACTCGGTTTGTTCATCTTCTCTTTCAAGCATTCGAAAGTATGCTTTATATGATGATTTTTGCCATTTTGTTTGTTTTCTAGCAGATCGATGAAGGGATTTCTCACAGCTCTCACATGTATAATGGATGAGTTAGGCTATAATTTTTGACTGAGTACGAATACTTTATGTTAGTTGAGCGTACGACTCATTTTAAATTCAAAAATTGACACCAGACAGGACGTTCTCTCAGGAAAACATATAGTGGTTTTTCCCTTCTGTGGTCCCCTTGCTCCAGACACCCATTCATTCCGTCGAAATGTGCTTATTCGGAGATTACGTTGGAGTAAACTAGAGACCGAATTTAGCTCTTGTTTGTAAAAGTGTCGTTCAAATTCTTTTGCTGACCTAAAACTATTTACGAGTTTGGTGCAGTACTCTTGAATGGTTACTTCCTGTTTCTTTCTCTTTGTTGCTCACTAGGCGGGTTTAATCTTCGAATTCCTATCGATCCTACGCACTACTTGAACACAGAAAAACACGTCACGAAGATGAAGCACTCGTTTTCAAACAGAGGTGAAAATTGGCCGTCCAAATGTTTCCCGTGAACCGGAAAGTGTCTACAGCTGGCTTCCGTGCTGAGTTATCTGTAATTCTGTCAGTTCTGTGCAACGTCTCTGCAAATCACTAGTTTGACAATCTTTTAAGAAAACGCCTATTTTGGAGGTCTCTTCGAGGGTGCTTGGTCCTTTTGGAGGATGACATCAAGTTCAGCTTATCAAGATGTCGCCGGTTTGAACAAGATGTAATATCAGCGACCTGATGAAGAAATAATTCGCCGCTTTCAAAAAGCCAGTGTGTGACAACTAAACACACCTTGTTCCGTAACTCTCTTCAAAAACGAACACAGACGGTTTCATCGCATTTCATGACATCCATGTGTATTTCATCCACGGTCCTCATCAGGGTAGTGCAACCATAGCTTTCAAAATATCTGTGGCTTTTGGGTATTTACGAACACAGAGACCCGTTGTGTTGAATTGAGATTTTTGGTCAATACGGTTGTCCAATAATGTCGGTAATTTATGACTACTTATGAGTAGTCAGAAATGTTTGTCTTATTATGTCACATTAGCAGGCTCAGTGTTCTTGCCAGGGGACGTATCTTTGTAGCAGTTTCGTGGTAGTTTATGGTGGTGTTTTAAGACATTTTTGGAAAGACAATACAGCGCTAAGCTTTTAGAGAATAGCGATGGACTGGCGGTCCTATCCAAAAAGGGAAATATTTCGATTCTGCGATTATTGCAATTGCAAACGAGTTCATTCCTAGAGACATACTTTCAAACCCAGAACAGTTTAGTCACAAAGATGGACAAGTTTCTTTTGTTGACGTAAAACTCAGAACGGTGGCCCCTCTGATGAAAGTCCATTCTAAAACTGTTCACTATAATCTTCAGTGCCATTGATTAGACATGAGTACTTCATTTAGATGCAGGCGCCATTGGACAAACTGCTGGAGACAGGGATCATTGACTCAGCCAGATGATAGCGTAAGAGGTTTCCGCATGCAGGACGGTACATCAAGTTAGGATAAAGAATAATTTGTGCTGTAATTTCACCTATAACGGCCAAGAATCTGGGGTGAACCTTATTAGGTATACCTTATTAGGCATACCAGCCTTGGGACACTCCTAAGTTTAATGGGGATTGCCTTCTTTTTTTTGAGGGCCACCAGGTAGATGAGCGTCTGAGCTTCCGTCAGATTATTTGCTATAACCCAAATTGTCCAAGAGCTTTCAACAAAGTTGAGAGTGTTAGGTTCCGTCAGGAAAATATGTTGCGATTTTAAAAAAAATCGTACCAACTAAAACAAGAGATTGTTCCTCTGAAGCCGATTCAGTTGAGAAAAAATTACAGACTAGAGATACAGCTGACCTTGAGTTGAGTCTTAGGTTAAAACCAAGTTGGTTTGCAGGTGAGTTTATTTTGCTTGCACCATTTTGTTTTATGGCTTAGACTTAGAGTCAAAGATGCTTATTTCAAGTCAAATCTCTAGACACCGATCAAGAGAAGTGTTCTGGGCGTTCCCGTTGAAAGCATGATTTGAGTGAAGGAAAAGTGCTCGTTCACGAATTTAAGCAACTAGAAGAACACCAATAAACGTTCAACATCGTTATCGACCCAATAATAAAAACAAAAATTGGTACCAATCAAATTCAAGGTACCTGTTTCACATTGCCGCTCTCAAAGCCTGCTACTCTGCGTTAGGTTGGCCAACGGGTAGCTCTTTCTCAGACCTTGGTCTCTCTTAGTACGTTGTGTCTCCGAAACACGTAAAAAGTAACTTAGTTTGGCTCTACATCTGAAACCGTTTGACACGAATTAACATATCTTGTATTTTACTCTTCAAGTGTCCAGAGTTTCTGAAGCAATCTACGGCGTGCGAGTTATGGTTGGTTCCGTCGCTCAAAGTTTCTTACCGGACTGGCTTCCATTGAAAACTCGTCTTTCCGCTGTTAGGTTCCCTGGTTCTATCGAGATCAGCGCAGCTCGAGGTGGCAGATCAAGTTTGTTTGTTACGTGAGGATACCCTACAAACGACGGTAGGTCAAACCCAATACTTTCATGTAAACCGATCGATTCAAAAGATAATTTCGCTTACCTTGAGGCCACTGCATGTTTCCCCAAAAACTGCATTTTTGTTCCAATCGGCGAGTCTTTTTCCGGCCTTAGACACCGAAGTGGGAACAACAACTAGATATAACACATCTTTATTGGCTCGGTAGCATATCCTTCAGTCTGTAAGATGCCATCAAGTAGTTGAAGTGGAAGAAAGCACCACGAGTTTGTTTTCGAGCTGCAGAATGTGAGACAAACAAGGCCAAGTAAGCTACACTGGTAGTTTCATTCTACCCTACGCTTTAGTATGCGTTTATTTGAGCGAACAGGTACCACTATGAGAAGATGAAGTTCAAATACCCCGGTGGGCGTAGGTTCGTGAATATGAAACGATAAGAGTATATACATTTTCCTTCTTATTCTGCCTCCACACCAATTGCGAATTTTCAGCACCGCTCCACAAGAGCAAACTTTTAGCACCCCTCTACAAGAGAACCTCTCTACAATGTGATCAGCTCACGAGACCATTTTATGCATTGAACTGGTGCAAAGTACCATTTTAGCCGGTGTGTTTAATATAACAGCTGCTTAGGTTAGAATATTCGGCGTTCCTTGCGATTCA